TAGTGGTTCGTAGCTACGTTCCAAACGGTACCTACGAGCAGGCTACGAGTGGTTACGCGCAGATATGAAGCGATATTTCACGACTGTACTGTATTTCCATTGCAGTACTACACATACAGTATAGTAACTTGGGATGGAAAATTAAGCGATAGTGTCATTCCATTTAGCATTAGGTTAATCATAATGAATTACAGATTAATTAATATCACCAAGATTCATTATGTACTTACAGTTCGTCTAATAAAAGCATTAAATTATATTGAATTTGTAAATGTTTTTAAGAAATGTTGATATATACTAGTTATAAACAAATTACTATTAGATTGTTATACTTTTGCTTGTAATTCCAAGATCTAGATAAACCAGACCTCTTGCAGATGAGTAAAAAACAACGGAAAGATGTCCGAAAACAGGTGAAAACAAACTATGAATTGGCACAGAAAAGCAAGAAAATGTGGGAAGTGTTACGACAGTAAGTTCGCTCATGAATGTCACCCACCCAACACAAGGTTAAATAATGATCATTTAATAATAATAATACCAAGGTGTATAACAACAAGTAACTTAATATGAAACTTAATACCGTTACAGATTTTTTTATTTTTAGTGCTCGTACTCATTTCAAAAGGATGCTCAAGATGTCAATGAACCTTTTTGGTGTGTCATTTAGACTTAACAAACGACCAATCAAAACATGTTATTTAATAGCCAAGAGTGTGCATGTGTCTCACAAACACACAAGTTGACATACAGTATGTTTACTATCTTTAAGCAGTATCAAAAGGAACGGGGTTAGCAGAGGTCCACTGAGCTAAATATGAAAATCAAAGGAATGATTTAACTTTATGCTTGTAGTATCTGTCTAACTTACCAAAAAATCCAAGTATTAAACCAAGTTCAAAACATCCAATATACAGTACATTTCCTGAAATTAAATAACTGACTTTTTTTCAGGGAAAAATGTACCAAGGAAAAGCGTCAAGAAATTCTAAATGAATTAAGGGAACTTGTCAGTGGTAAAGTTTTGGAGGTACGGTACTTTTTGTGTCTTACATATAATATTCTAAATTGAGAGAATATATTTCATATATGTGTGCTGCTAATGATCAGCTCTACAATAGTGAATTGCTAACATGGGTCAAATCCAGGTTCTTCAAAACAGAAGGTGTGGTATAGGTTTCAGAATTTTGTTTAACAAGATAATTATTAATCTAAAATTTTATATTCTGTAGGACAGTCATAATAACAACAATAATCAAATATTTGTAATGTGTCAATTTCATAATGATAAAGTTGGAATGTTTCCTTTTAGTTATAAAAATGTGTTTTAAAAGTTACTTAATGTTATTTTGTTATTTTTTCTTTCAGCTTGTTTATGCTCATGATTCTGTACGAGTTATCCAATGCTGTTTGAAGTTTGGAGATGAAAGCCTACGTAGTGACATGTTTAATGAAGTCAAAGGTGGATATTATAAGTTCAATTAAATATTTTGAATGCTGCCATCTGTGTCAATTATTTGTTGGGTTAATTGAATTTCATGTTATTACTGCTAGCTTTTATGTTTACTGCCCTCAATAACAAATACTTGAACAGCTCTTCAAACAAAAATTATACTGTTTTGATATGGGTGTGGTTAGATTTCAGAAGGGTCCAGTCGATATAAAACAATTTGTGGTGGTATAATTTTTTTCCCATCTTAAAAAGAGAAAGTTGTGAGATTTTTTGTTATGCTTATTTGTGAAATTAAGTTTTTTTAATTGTTTGATTGATTGATTGATACAATACAAAGCCCAAATTGTAGAAATATGATAAAGCATATCATATCAACATCTTTGTATGATTTTTCATGTTTAAGATACTTTGTGTTTTTAATGTATAATTCTTGATTTTGGCAGTGATGGGGTTGTAAACTTGAATTTCGCAAATATAATGTATTGACTTTAATGGTGCTTTTAATCTACTACTCCTTGAAAGAAAACAAATATATCAGTTTTTTTACACTGTAATCATGTAATTCATCTATATTTCACTATACTTACTTTACTACAAAAACTTAGTTCAACAAAGTGTTATTGTTATTAGTAATCACCAACACAATGTCAATTTAATTAATTCCTATATTAATAGGTTAATAAGTAATTCCTATATTTTAGAACAAAGGTGCAACAGGAAATAGATTAAAAAGATTATTAGGCTTTGTCCAGATTATCAAATTTTGTTGTATGCCCATTAATATATTGTAGTCATGATGTGCCTATATTCAGATTCAGATTCAGATATTTATTAAGTGAAAATGTCAATGCATCATGATAATTGGTTTCCACGGTTCAAAAATACAAATAAGACTTATTATATATCTACTAAATACTTGGATATGATGAAAGTGTGTAAAATATTGATTCATTGAATTGGAATAAAAAGATTGCACATATACGAGTTGTGAGAATTATACTTGATTATTATATATGGTCATAATGTGATGTCATCATGACTATATTTAGGTATGCCACATTGGATAGCCTGGAGAGGGCTTTACAATAGCATCCCTAATATTTTTTTATTTTAACTATGTAATCATATTTCAACTTTAAGCTGTAGTTTAGTTTATTAATTTGCTGTTTTCCTCTTTTTGATAGATCACATCCTCAATATGTCAAAGTGTAAGTACGCTAAATTTTTTGTAAAGCAGATGTTGCGATACGGTACAAAAGAACAGCGTAACCATATAATGTCGTCGTTCCATGGTAGCGTATGCAAAATGGTACGGCACAAGGAAGCTTCAGAGGTTATTGAGATGGCCTACAACAACCATGCTAATTTAAAGCAGAGGTCTGCACTCCTTGAGGAGTTCTATGGTCCGTCTTTTGCTGTGTTTAAAGTAAGTAACTTATCACATTGTTATTGTCAGTAGTTGAATTATTTTACATAATTGTTTGTGAGGAGACAATATATTTACATATAGAAATCACTTCTTCTTATCGAGTCACTACGTAGCTAGATCTAGCTTACGTAGTGTGGTAGAAGGATTCGCAGGTAGGATGGATACCTGACATGGGCCGCGTCGTGAGCGCTCCTTCTGTGGCCAGACAGGGGACTATGGACCAGTACACCGGGGTGACCCCCTACTCTTCTCGAATGATGTGCTGGGTTCTTTAAAGTGCACACGAGCCAATTGTGTACACTGGACCTACGGTTGAGAGTCCTTATCCAAGAATACTCGTTCCACCACCGGAACCATAAGCGAGCGTGCCGTTCGAACAAGTGCCGATTTTATGGCTGTATGTCACAGTTCCCCTGTCTTAACTGCTCGGCCAATCGACTCGCCAATTAGAAATCACTGATATTTATTTATTGCCAATTATTATTGATTTTAAAAAAAATGTGTATTAACTTATTTTACCTGTAGAAAGAAGGGGTTGAGAGTCTCAATGACATAATTGAGGCTGAGCCGGAGAAGAAACGTCAAATCACGGAGCACATGGCAAAAACGCTTACCTCCATGGTTGACAAGTAAGGATATTGAACATTTTTAGTATAATTTTTATTCTATCAGATTTTTAAAATACTGTTAGCCTATTATATAATTATTGTTTATTAATAATTATATGAATAATTATGCAATATAAATATTCAGTACCGTTCAGTACTTTATTGGTTTAAAATCAGGTTTGGATTCCAATCTCAATGGGAAAGATTTTTTTTTTTCCCTGGAACCATATATTTTTATTGTAATTCTTATTTATATGTCTCTTACAGGACAGTTATCAAACACACAATGATTCACAAAGTTTTGTATGATTTCTTCGTTCATGCACGTCCACAACTAAGATCCGTAAGTGCATAGTACCTATTCAATCATATACACCATTTTCGCCAAATTTGAAATGAAAATTTCCAACAACCTGGCAACTACCACTGGGGGACTACATATTAACCAGCATGTATCTGCTGTGCTGTGACCGGTACATAACCTTATTGTTGTTGTGAGTTAGTCTGGGCCTAGGATCGTCTTTGAAAACAGAATACCAAAACGAAAAGAACAAAAAATAAGGGCACATAAACCTGCAGTGATTTTTGGTTGTTGAAGTACTCAAAAGAAAATATGTGTCTGGAAAAAAAAAAATTGCTCAGACTAGGCTGCTGGAAGTCCCCCAGTGAAAAGATGCGAGACTTTGGTGGCGCTGTTTCAAAATAGACCCAATAAAATGGTGTACATCACTCAATATTTAAATGCCATTTATACATCTTATGTATATTTCACAACTTGTCTCATTTGTTATAATTTTTTATATTTTATTTGTGTGTGTGAAAATTTAAGTTATTTGAACAAGTTTTATAGTTTTGTAGATTTTAATACAGTAGTTCTTCTGAACTGTATTTCATGTGCATTATATAATGTTATGCTTACGATTCTTTTAGATACTGGTAAGCATAGAAAATAATTTTATTTTATATACTGGTACTGTAATATAGTATTCTTAAATTCTTTTTTAATTCTCTTCTTAGGAAATGATAGAATCCATAAGAGAGGTCGTGGTTCAAATTCTTCATACTCACGATGGAGCTCGAGTTGCGATGCAATGTGTCTGGCATGGCACAGCAAAGGTAATCAGTGATATAAAATGTAAAGAAGCTATGAAACTAAAACTGAGAAATTAAATTTAAATAGATTGGTGAAAATGCATTGTTAGCCTCAGGATCTAAGCTAAGTTTTCGAACAACGATTTCCTGTTGTACCAACTGAGCTATAATGCCAGGCTGGTAGACTTTTATTTTGATTATATATAATAGTATGTAATTTTTATATGTTATTTTTTATTATTAGATGCTTAATTGTTACCATTATTTTCTTTACACTCTTAAAGTGGCTTGTAATTAATTTAAGTTTTCCTAGTTAAAAATTAAACAATAAATTTGACATTGATAACTTGATTCTTTTATAGGTGTAATTTTTGCCCTACCTGACGTGGAAATGTACCGAATACTCAGTACATTTGAAAAAATCGCAAGTTGTTCTCGGGTGGGACTCGAACCCACGATCTCCAGATCACTAGCCTGGCATCATACCTCTAGACCACCGAGCTTGCGCCTGATGGCCAGGGTTGATTCTTTTAATGACCAATTCAATATTCATTTCAAAAGGGATTTTACAGAAAGTATTTTTAAACTAAGAGGTTAAAGACATTACTCAAAAAATTGTTATCACGGTGTGTTCATATTGCTGATTATTTTGAAGTAAACCAGAAATTATATTTGGCTGTCAGCCAATTGTCATCGTGTTAGGTAACACTTGTAAAAGGGTATTGTAGGCATGCTGTACAGATAATAAAGGGATTTTTTAGGTTGTGTCATCACAAAGTTGACATTGGTCTTGTGATTCCAAATTTAGCACATGACATCTACTAGTATTTGAATAGCATCAGGATCCAAACTCAAAATTTTTGATCACCTTTTGGCTGTTGTAGCCAGGCTGGTAGACTCGTAATTTTCCTTGTAATTATTGTAGTATATAATTTTCATATGTTATTTTCAATATTTGATGCTTAATTGTTACTATTATTTTCTTTACACTCTTTAATTGGCTCGTAATTAGATTGAGGTTATGTTCACGCACGGTAGCTAACGGTAGCTGCCATGCGTACATACAAGACAATCCCCAATTTGCTAACCAATAGCGCTCGCTAACCATTAGCGTATCCGGATCTGGTAACAGGTAGCGCTAACCGATCGGGCCTTCACACACACAGGTGCTAACAGTTAGCCCCGATCCAAATACTAGGTCTCTCGTGTGAATCTGACCTAAAGTTTTCTTGGTTTAAAATTAAACAATGAATTTTGTTGATCTGGATCTCATTGGATGTTGAAAGCTTGAATCTTTTAATGAACAATTCAATATTTGGGATTTTACAGGAGGTATTTTTAAGCTAAGAGGTTAAGGACCCCTACTGTACATTTATTATGGTGTATTTGTTTTGCTGATTGTTTTGTTGACATGAAGAAGAATTACATTTGGCTGTCAGCTAATTATGGTCATGTTAGATAACACTGTCTTTTTTTGTAAAGAGTATTGTGGGCATGTGTATCAGGCAGATGCTGTACAGATAATAAAGTGATTTTGTGTTTAGTTTGTGTCATCCCAAAGATAACATTGGTCTCCTGATTCCAACATCTGGTTGAATACTCATGTCCTATAGTTATACAATGTGGGCATGAATCTTATTACTGTTTTACTATCAATTCATATAAATGACAGACAAATAAATATAAAGTTCATACCATGAAACTTAGACAAACCTACAAATTGCAACCTCTTTATTTTATGTTGCTACATAGATTAAAGTGCTATGACAATTTATATATTAGAAAGCTTATCTCTCATGTTTTGTTTGAGCTTCTGAGTACAGTATTGTAATATTGTAGTTTAATTTCAGGAAAAATGTATATTTAAAGTTTAGTTATTTTAGAATGGGTTTTCAATGGTTTAATTTTGTCATTTTATATAGAACTAATTCCTCCATGATACACAGATGATAATTAACACATAGATCTTCTTTTATGTATTTAACTTATGCCTTTTCTGCATTTAAACATTTTATTTTTTTTGTTGGTCTCGCTTCTAATCCCTGAATTTCTAGTATAAACTTAAAAAATTTAATATTGACTCATTTAATGTCATCACCATTTATGTAGCCCCGGGCATCGCTCCCATAGTCAAGAATAGATTTTAGTTTGATATAACAAATTTTAAAATTAATTTCAATTGATATATATACCCATAGTTTTTATATTAGCCATAATTGCTAACATAGCCTTAGACGCCTGTCTTTTTTGCATATAATGGATGTAACCAAATTGACCTTGCTTGCAAACAATCTTGCTTAGTCTTTGAGCACCGAGTGATGGGTATAAGATAGGACTTTACTCTTTTCTCCTTGTGGTCTCTTTTCATAGGATCGTAAAGTTATTATGAAGTCCTTCAAAACATACGTCAGTAAGATCTGCCGTGAAGAGTACGGTCATTGGGTGATGTTGGCGTTGTTGGACTCGGTGGATGACACAAAGTTACTCTCCAAGATTGTCCTTAATGTAAGTATTCTGTCAATTATTTGTTGACAATAACTGTGTATTGTAATTTTTAAAATCTTGTAATCATCTTCAAATTTTAATTGATTACATACTAACATTAACCAAATTCAGAATTATTTTGAATAGACTATTACTTAATTGCATATTAACTTATACAGTATATTGTTTACAAAAACCCTTAAAAGTTTGATTAAAAACACTGAATTGTTTGTTTAAAAGGATAAAATGAGCTATCAGCATTCTGCGAGACACAGACTGAACCAGTTCAGTTTTTACTGGTTGATAGATGTTTCCTGCCAGGCACATCAGACTTTCAAATGAAAAAAAAAATTTTAAAAATAGGTGTCCCAAGTATCTGCAGTCAGAACCTGGGAGTTAGCTTGTGATGGGTATTACCAGGTGCCACTAAATAAATATTTACATTAACAGTTTTATTTTACATTGTTATCTTGAAATTGTGTCATTATCGAATAAAAACACAGTGATTTCAGTTTTGAAGTGGTTTAATGTTTCATTAAGTAAATAGTGAAGCTAATAGTAGCTAGTATCAATGATAAGTTTAGTCACGCAATTCCAGGTTTGAAAAGTAACGGTGTGTGTGTGTATATTTTAACCAATTATCAAATTAATACCTATTTTCTTGCATAGTTTTAATCAAGAATTATTTGATTCTTTATTTAATTATTATAATTTACATGCCTATTTTCTAACAGAATTGGATGGTACTTTTTAACTCACCTCCTATGTTAGTGAATAAACATTTGTTATTTTTGTATTATGACTTTGACTTGAAGACGATTGATACTTATATGACTTATTACTACAGTAACTTATATTGTGCAAAGTCGACTTAGGCAAGTTTATATATATATATGTATACACTTTATATCTGCATGGTTAGTTTGAACCAGATCATGAAGGCGAAAGTGCTCAATACACACGTAGAGCAATATAAATAAGTAATCAAAGACACTAGGTTACAAACTCAACATTTTATTTTGCACTACAGACTGTTTCATGAGGGCACAGCCTCAATCATCAGGTGCTCAGCTCTAAATGAAGCTTACTCGGAATAATGAAGTACTGTAGATAAAGATGATAAAAACTGTTTATAAAGAAAATGCTATGTTAATTAGTACTGGACTCTCTTTTGTTTAATAGATGGATCTGTGATAGGCTATTGTTAAGTTTGGTATCTTAGTAGGAACTTTCTTCTATGTCTGCATGCACTAACTAATTCGTTTCTTTCGTTAAGTGTACTAGCTTCTGGATTGCATATAATGTGATATTTCTCGTGCAGGCATAGGTTGCATCGTTTATTAACATTAGAGTATGGCTTGCATTTAGATAGTATTCGCCATTGTATTTTATGCTTTACATTGCTGTCTTTAAGTTTCCAAACATATTGACTAAGCGTGGTACTATTTCTATATTTAACATTCCGGAATGAACAAGTATGCACGTTATACCTACTTTTAAAAGTTTTTCGGTGAGACCGACGTACGTCTCAACCTTATTGTTGTCATCCCTTGTGATAGTAGCCTGATAAACTACACCACTGGTTAGAAAATTACCAGACAAGGGACATTACATTGCTCGATGTTATCTAAGTGCGTATCCTTATTATTTAGCACCTTTTTGCTGTGAGCGGATAGTATCGAGCCAATATTGGGCATACAGCTATAACTGATCTTGATAGTGTTCCTATTAAACACTTTTCTAAGAGCATGATCATGTGGGAAACATTCATCTACAATTTTAAGAAATTCATGTCCAATTTTTGTTTTAACATTGGCACTGTAAGGTGGGTTGAACCATATAATGTTTCTTTTTCTTTTCTTTTTGACGTTGGATTGCACGTTGTGAGTAGCTGGATTATATTTCAGCTCATATTTGACTGGTTCAATAATTCTGTTTTCTACTGATTTTCACATCATTTTGAAAAATTCCTTAAAATGTCTGTCTATTGTATTGTATTGTATTGTATTTTCTTCTCAAAGAATTTCATCTGGTTCCGTAAAGGTTCCGTAAAACCAATAATAAACCAATAATTTATTAGGCTTACTTTCTACGGTGGAAACCGTAACAATAAGTCTAATTAATAATTCAATAGACTTAACTTGCTATGGTGGAAACCGTTGCAAGTAAGACTAATAAATTATTGGTATATCAAGAGATAACTTCAATTAAATTTTATTTTCTTGTTCTAATTTTATTAAAAATCTCAAATAATACATTTTAATATCTAAGTTTATTAGCTCAGTGTCTTCAAGCAGTAAGTTTGATGGATGATTTTCAACTTGAATGTCTATGAAACTACTGCATACTGTATATGGATGATATCATTTCCATATATAGATGTTAAATAACATCATGTCCATATATGGGCAAATGACAGATATTTGTCCCATAAACTTGGTAGTGTGTATACAGCTTTAAAAATGATTTTGGTCATGATTTTAGGATGCCTTTGGTAGTTTTTTGTTTATAATAACATTTTGATGGTTTTGTCACATTTTATTTTGGCTTTCTAATAATCACAGCATGGTTTTAATCTTTAGGAAATGATGAAGTGTGTAGGTGAGCTTTGCGATAACCAATATGGGCGAAAGGTATTGCTGTATTTACTCTGTCATCGACAACAGCTTCATTTCCACCCTCATATCATTACCCTGCTCAAGAAGGGAGATGAAAATGCAACTAGGTTAGTATAATAATAATAATAATAATAATAATAATACTAATGGTAACAAAAACAAAGTGTGTGTATTGGCAGTATTTATCAAATGTGTATTCTGAAACACAAGTATATAATTTTTGTGTTGCAGTAAAAAAGATTTGAACACCAGGAGACAGGAGGTACTAGAAGCTGTCAGTAAGCCTTTGCTAAAACATGTTCAGAGTCATGCTAGAGAACTTGTCCGCAACAAACAAACATGTCTTCTTGTAACTGCTATTTTCCAGAATGCTGTTGGTAAGTCAGTGGCAGATCTAGAAATATGAAAGTAAGGGGGCCCTAGAAGGGAATTTTACTAATGTAGGGCCCAGACTACCTCAGTCCCATCATGGTGTAGGCTGAGGTATGACATTTTTGTCAATATCACCTCTGGATGGCTGGGAAAGGTATTCTGAAAATTAATTTGAATACAATTTTTAAAAATTCTAGAGGCTCAGGGTTTCTTTTGCCTTCCCCCTGAATCTTCCTCTGTAAGTATAGGTCATGGAAAACCTTCAGGCATATTCACGTAACTTTTGAGATATTTATAATTTTTACAGGTGACAAGAAGCTAGCTATGGAAGCTATCTGTAATTTGGCATCAGAAGACTTAGTAGCCATTGATAGGGACTCAACAAATTCACTAGATAAAGTAAGATTTAAAGTTATTTCAGTGTATTGTGCCAGGTACTGTTGATTATATCAGTTAAATTAAATCAATTTTAATCATTGTCTTAGGATCCTAATTGTATGCCTAATTGAAGCCTAGAAATTCGAGGGTAGTCGACGCTTTTGAATGGAAAGATCGCGCTTATAGTTATGGATGGTTGGGTAAATAAATTATATAACTGTGTGGAATAGGAATGTTTTATATTTGTTTTTATATTTTTTTGGCTATAATTAATTTTTTTTCCGGTTTTTGCTGCATTATATGTAGCATTTTTCTGTCATTTCTATTATATTATATATATATATTATATTATATTATATTATGAAAAATAATTCCCAAAAATATAAATTATACATCAAATGAAAGCTTATTCTATAAGCTTTCTTTGTTTTTAGAAACATTTTTCTGTATAATTTACAAAAAGTTCCCAAAAATCCACCAGAACGACGTATACTCAAAAAAAGCAAAGAACCTTGTTACACTGCAAAAGAATCCGGTATTCAAGGGTTTGCACTACAAAAGAATCCGGTATCCAGAGGGTTAAGCATGTGGATTCAATGACCAGGGAAAAACTTACAGCACTTGGTAACTGAAAGGAAAAGCGCTATATAAGTAACAAGTACATAGTTGCAATCCACACACATGGATTTATTATCGCATTTTTAACATTTGATTTGTATTCTTGTGTGTAGTATTTATAAAATATTCTGTATACTTTGCGGTTGGAAAAAGCACTAAAACAGTCAGTCAGTTAGTGGTAACAAATATTGTTTCATTAGTATTATTATATAAATTACAATAAGCTACAGATATGCTGAACTACTTTTTTTATTATTATTTTAATAATCTGTATTTGTATAATGCTATTTTGTGTGAAACAGATGCATATTGTTGAACACCCTGCTGGACATATTGTGTTGAAGAAACTTATTCAACAAGACAAAGAAACACAGAATTCAGGTTGGTTACTTAAATGTTAAAACTAAGGAATTAAAATGCTATTACTATCTAATAAATAAAAATAGTTAAATACATTAAGAAAGCCCATTAACTAGATCTACCAGAAGTAGCTTCTTCCAACATGGGACCTTGAAAAATAATAATAATAATAATTAATTAATAATTAATAGTTTTAATAATTCTTTAATCAACCTTATCTAGTTATTTGTGGCTTGTTATTAATAACAATAAGTTTAATCTTGCTTTTCAAGGGTTAAAACTTTAGGGTGTTATGCTCGGATAAAACCTATATGATTATTATACCAATAGTGTACGGCTGAAATCTGACAGTATACTATGTCTTGTTAAATAGAAAAGTGCTTGATGGTTTTATATGGTTCTTATTGAGAGTCATGCCACCCTGTGTGCAAGCAGACCATAATTGTGGGATGGGACATTGACCTGTAGATAAATGTTAATACAAGATATTTATATTAAACAATGCCTAGGATTTGTTTACACTACATGTTATGGAATGCATTAGTATGCTGGCTTTATTGTTGTACTCTATTTATATTTGGGTTTCTTTCACTCTGCTGCCGCTGTTACAAAGTCCAATAACAAATATCTGTATTAAGGTTCATCCCAAATAAAAACTCTTCTTAAACCTACACCAATAATGATGTTAAACTGTGATTAAAATACATTATTATTTGTATAGAGTAAGTAAAATATGGTCTGCATTTGAATGATTCACATCATCATCATCATCATCATTTGTTCTATAACCTGTTGGGTGTCAGGTTGTGGGAGCACTGATGGAACTGTCGCTATTTACCACATCACCCATTAATGTTGTTCACCTAATTTCTTCTAGGTCTTCCTTTCTTCCGTTTTGCATTCACATGCCCCTGCAAGATTGTATATTGCTTAATTAGCTGCTATTCCTGTAGATACTGTATATCCAAACCAATTGAGTTTTTCTTGCCCTGACAATTATTAATAAATTTAACTGCCAATTGTGTTCACTGGGCCTATGGTGGTAATCTCTATCAGAGAAGACTTCATCCACCACCAGGACCATGACAAGTGTGCCGCCAGAACCTGTAGGTTGGGGCAACCCTGCCTTAACCATTTGGCCATTTGACTTGCCTATTTCTGAAGGAATGTCAACCTTGAAATTACCTGCATAAAAGAAATACCAGTTTGGTTTAGTGTTGTTTTTTACTATACAGAAGTACAGTGGTTGGATCTACTTTCTTTAATAAATATTCAAAATTTTTCATAATTGCTTTCAGATTTTAGTGAAATGTTGGTTGAGAAAGTGGGTACAGAGAAGATAGCGACATGGAGTACCATTAACAGGGGAGCATTCATTCTTGTTTGGTGAGTAAACATCATTTTATTGATGTCCATATGTTAATCGCTATACCATTAGGTCTATGCTTAGAAAAGGAACACAAAGTGTAAGCACATGGATTTTTAGATTACACCATGCACACAGTGCTCCAGGTGAAACTGTCTCTGATATAATATTTGCTAAGTGCATTGTATATGGCTGTCCCCAGAACATTGTAAGGAGTTGACCCACAGATGGTTTTGGTGGTTGTTATAATGAATTTTATTTAGATTTGTTGTTTTACTGTTATGTGTACATTTGTTTTCAGCCTGTTGGATTGTGGAAGTGATTCTGTAAAGACTAACATTAAGGAAGCAATGACACCTATGATGAAGGTACTACAAAAGGCAGACTTTAAAGGAGCTCAAGTTTTAGAAGACAGATTGAAATGAAAATAACTGCAATTGTTTTAAAGATTCCTTAATTCAATATGCATTTTTTATCTTTTTCTATGTCTTGTCTTTCATGTTCTTATACCGTAATACTCTTAATGCATTCATTATATTCTTTTCTTTTAGTTTAGAAGTGAAGCAATTTGGCTTCATTCATTTGTTTGATACTCTCAGCATTGTGGTCAAGGGTTCGAGCCCTTACTGTGCAAGAATACATTTTATTTGTTTGTCCCTCTCTACCCAATAGTATAAATGGGTACCGGCATATGTTGGGAAAGTAAACAGACTGTACGGAGGCATGGTGATCCCCCTACAGTGTTGCACAGTCTGGGCCATATGCTAAAGAGTGTTCTGGCCTGTACGGATTTGACTATCTCTTTAAAAGTCATCTTGAATTCAATTAAGTACAATGGTACAAAATTACAAGCAAGGATATTTCATAATGTTTTTTAATATGCGATTCCTAGAAAAGTTGAAGCCTATAAATGGTCCAGGCAAAAAAAAATTTAGAAAGAGAGAGTAGATTGTTGCGATTGATATTGAGTTTTTCATTTATTGGTATAAAAAACACTCGCAGATAAAAATGTTGAAAACTTAAATATAAATATGACTTACAGTACATTAATTATACAACAAAAAAATAACATTAAATAAATTAAGTTCAAATGTTGAATTTGGGAAACCTGTGGTGGAAGTTTATTCGAAAGAACAGAACTTGTGGGAATAAATGAGTTATAGTGAGATAAAGAGATAAAGATATAGTGTGGAAAGTAGGTCTAGTAACAAAGTAGTAGAGAACAATTGAAGAAGCTCGTGTTGACCTGGGTGACATTGTAGGGAGGGAGTATAGAGAGAATCTCCAAAGCATAGAAAAAAAGAAAGAAATGAACAAAACATTTTTCCCCATATTGAATTTATAGGATGGCTATACATATGTGTGAACAAATTATGTTTGAAAATTATTTGGAATGTACATTTGTTTAGACACTTAGAATACCAAATTTTGGAGTGTTATTTATGTTCTGTTGTATGTGGCAACCTTGATAGCTGTAGCTGGTCGATCAATGTTCGGGGGGTGAAACCCTTTAAAATCAGGCATTCTTGTAGACTTTAATAATTTTTGTACATGTACTATACAAGCTGAACAAGCCTCATGGCTACAAAGGGCCATCAAAACGCATTGATTCAGATGCTCTAAAATAAGTTCTGAGTGAAGCAATGATTTTTGAGGCATTGCAAGTTACCCATGGCTCAGGAAAGGGTCAGTATGCGCTCTATGCAATGCCATAGCCAGGATTTTTTAACATTGTGGGACAATATCAGGGTGGACCCACTTTACGCGTAAATTCAAATAATGTGGACCAATTTTCTTAAAAGTTGTCCCATTTTACGCAAAAATATGAATAATCTGGTCCCATTTTCTTAAAAATTTACCCATTTTACGCAAAATATGAGAAATCTGGACCTATTTTACACAAAATATGAGAAATCCGAACCCAATTTTAAAATGTGGACCCCATTCTTTGTGGACCCAATAGAAAAATTGTGTGGGACTGTCCCAATAGCTGATACGGCATTGGCTCTATGTAGGTGTACAGACGCCTAGAAAGTACATATTAATATTAAGGGTCTCGCATTATCAATATGATGCTTCATTTTCATGAATAAATAAAGTGATAACTGTCTATGGACGGTAGATTATGGTTGATATTGTAGATTGTCCGTTTTATTATAATTTCTGAGGAATGGCATAGGTCTAGGCTTTCATGTTATACCCTATACAATGGGTCATGAACAACACCTTAAAAGTGAATAAAATTATTAATGATGATCATTTATGATTTATATAATGCTTTATTTTCATGAATACATTGATACCTGTCTATATGGACGACAGATGATGGTTAATGTAGACTTTTTGATTTATTATAATTTTTGAGAAATTATGTAGACCTATGTTTTCATATGATACACTATACAATGGGTCATTAACATGTTTATATAATCTAGAGTAAACATGTTTTTCGCGACTGCTGCGGCTATACAATCCCAAATGTTTGCATTTAGAGTTCAAAGTCCCTATTATAAAAAGGCTCACCCCAATATTTTAGACAACACACCATTAGTCATCAGAAGGTGCATAGGACGCCAGACCTAACAGAATAAGGTTAGTGTTCTCATGTATTTCTATTCATAATAAAGTATTATAGGGAACGGCCAAATTATTGTGCTTTTATTTTCCTTTCAATTACTTTTCCCTTTTTCCTCTTTTTTTTTTTTTACTACATCTTTCTTCATTTTACCTTTCCTAGTTATTTGTCTTTATTCTTTTCTTCCTTTCCTTTCTAATTCTGTACTTCCATAATGTTGTTTTCCTATATTCTCCTTTATTTTCCCTTCCATTCTCTCTTATCTATTCATTTTATTATCTACCTTTCTTTACCGCAGGGTCTGATCTGGGTTCAAATTTAGGAGGGGGGTCATAATGTTTCAAAAAAACCTCCAAAAAAAAAGTGGGTACGGGGTCTTCCCCCGGGAAAATTTCGATTCCTAGATGGCGGGAAATGAGCTTTCCCAACTTCTGGAAGTGTTTTTAATTTTAATTCAAGGTTTCATCCCCTCTTGAAAACGGTCAGATAAATTTCTCCCATTCTTATTACAGTAAGTAGGCCTATGTGACAGGAAGGTCCTCTGATTAATCTCAGATAAGAAAGTATAATATATACTCCAAGTATTGAAATACATGCCATCGTGTTGGGATTCAATATTTGGACATTATGTCATCATCAGGCCTATGTGTGTATACGTAAAAAAAAATTGATTTCTACAGTAGTTGGCGGGAAATGCGCTTTTCTGATTTCTGAGGTGTCCTTAAATGACATTTAAGTCATTAAAAGTTTAGGTTTCCCCTTTCTTGAAAATGATTCAATGAATTCCGACTTATAATTTTCCCATTGTAACAACAAAAATTTCAGCTCACGGGTCCAGAATTTTTTATTTACTTATTTATTTTTTTTTTTTGCCCAAGGTGAGGAGTCAGGACCCCCTGACCCCTCCAGTGACTTTACCTTTCCTTTTCTTTCCTCAATCAGATGTGGTTCTAACAGAAATGAAATAAAAATAACGATAACCACAAAATTGTAGAATCCGTCTTTGATGAATAGAAAACATCTTCGGATGAACTGAATTCTGGAGAGCAATTAAGCTGCTGTTCTTTCAAGGATCGAGGTTTTTGTTTTTTTTAACCACCTTTACATATTTTTGTGATATAAAGTGTAGGCCTGAGACTTGCATCTCTTTGAAATTGCACGTCTTAGAAATCGATGGATTCAGTTCACTTTTTAGATATCCCTTTATTGATATAAAGTGTTTTTTACAACCGACATTGTCACCATTACCACTTTTACGTTTCTGTTTTCATCATTATCCATTCACTTTTAATGAAGATAACACTAGAAGATTATATAATAATTATAGGTGTGACAACTCTATAGACGACAACAATAGCACTACTAATAATAACACTGATGATAATACTATATTACTATTACTTAGGCCTGTCTTTACAGAGATAACGTTAAATCATGTCTAGTTGAGCAGCTGATTACATTGCTTGAAAATGGATCCAGATATCTATTATGGTAAGATAGAACTATAACAATGTGTTGTAGTGATTTATTTTAATATTTTTGTTGATTTAAATATCAATTCAATACGAATATTGCTTAAAATATTGAAGTTACCACACGTACAAAGGAACAAAGTAAGAACAAATTCAGACTGAGGTAAAATGTCAAAAGAGGTTTTTCATTTTTAAAAACTAGAAAAAATATTGTATCTGTACAGTACCTAATGTGCAGCAGGTGTGACTATGTAACACCCTCTATTAGTGCAGTACAGTAGCTGTAGGCCTACCAACGGTCATTTGGGGCCATTTTTGCCGGAGTTTATTAATTTTTACTGATGCCTTTTTTCAGGGGCCATTTTTCCGGGGCCACTACATTCCACTACAGTGTTGTAGTGTTGTACTGCTGTACAATAATAATTTTCTATGTTTGAAAAGTGTGTAAAGAAGAACAAAATAGAACATTTTGAGTTGAAATCGGCCAAAAATAAGAACACCGGAGTCTGGGCACAATTTCATTTCATTTCATTTATTTATTTTCCAGATTGTTACAAACATCACAAACCTAGCACTATTCTGGCCGATTGTCAGAAAGCAAACAAGTTCACTGTGCAAAGACTCTCCAACTAGTACTAGAACAGTAACAAACTGGGTTTAATTAACATAAGCATGTTCTTATTAATAAAAAAAATCAGAAGATTTTTCTTTATCTATACTGTATTATCAAATATTTTTGTACTATTTTGTATACTATTTTGTTCACCCTTCAGGCTTATCACCGAAGGTAAGCTGATATTCAAGAGCCCTCTTAAATAGTTAAATGCAATACGATGCATATTATCTAATAAGCTCCCTGGGACTGGAGATGTGTTTTAGTCGCGAGGAAGTAGAACATTTTTTTTTTTAATGTAAAATTGGTCTGTAATTTGTTAATAAACAGTGATACTCTGAACTCTTTTCATTATCTTTCGTTTTCAGCGCTCAGAGAGAGCACCGCTAATTATCAGCTCAATGAAGTTGAAATATTGTTTGACCAACAAGCATAACATAGGCCTAATTACAATTTTATTAATTACGATCTATTTTATAGTTCGTGGGTAAATACATTTTGCGATCAGAAACATTGAATTTGGAAAACGTAAACTACACATTAATGGTAATGGTAATGGTTGGAGACTTATATAGCGCATAATACATGGTCTCTATGCGCTCGGGACTAGATGTTGCACTTTACAATAACTTTCTCCTCCCCTAAGGGTCACTTCATGTCTTCAGCAGCCAGTAAACCGGCGCACTTTCATCTGTCCAGTATAGACCTATACTAAATATCAAAGATCCACATGCTTAGCCTATAATGGTGCTTAGAGACTTCAGCTGTTTAGCACTAATAAAAGTGCTTAGGTATTTCAATACAACAATTAACTTTTTTTTTTTTTATCTTAAACACGTTAAGCAAAATCGTAAGCACATTAAAGACTAAACATTTTTAGTTGTAAATATAGTGTGTAGACCTTTACATTATGTCATGGTATCATTCACTGTGACAGGAAATACACAAACCAGTCCTATTTTCCAATTTAATACGCATGGATTTTTTTATATATATTTTCAGTTGAATCCATTAGCGAAAAGCTGTTCGATCAAGCTTTTACCTTGTTGACGGACGGGATTAAGGATATACGCAAAAGTATTCAAGGTTAGTACTCATTTCATTTCATTTATTTATTTTCCAGATTGTTACAAACATCACAAAC